CAAAGCCAGTTACCTTGATCCATACTCCTCCCCTTACCCAGGACCCCTTTCTCTGATGCCAAATAAGGTTCTTCCTTCCTGTATGTAAACTAATTTCTATTGCCTTGAGTGTTAACAGCCATATGTAAACTACCCTTTATCACTCTGATTGTCCACCAGGCGCTGTCCTGATTTACATCCCTGAGAAACAAGGTCAGGACCGCTTATCTTTCTTTTTGGGGGGTCATCTGAACAAGAAGAGACTGTCAGGTCAAGACAGTTTATCTGCTTCCATGAGTTGCTGCCTTTCCAGTCAGGAAGAGGCAAACCATGTCAGCAATTAACACATCCTTGAGATTTTGAAAAGCGTTAAAGGTCTCATCCTCAAGAATGCAACCTTTTGATAATCTAAAGTACAGTCAACCACACATACAGGAAAGGGAATATTGGCATTTTGCTAGGCCAGCTTTTACTTCATATTATACAATATATAAAGATAAATGTTTAAACATCTAAATGTCTTAATATATAAAAATGTCTACATGCCCCAACCTTCTAACACAGGAATGTTTAAATTAGAGAACCAGGTAGATGACTAAAAACTGGCTCTCAGCATAACCATTTTTCTCTTAAGTCTGGTCTGCCCAATTTGCGAAGGGCCTCCTTAGAGGCAGGTAAATGCGCTTGTTTTGCGAAGACTCCTTGAGAGTCGAAGTGGGGCTTTTCCTCTGTCGATCCCCACGGGAAGTTCTGGGGGAGCGTTTTCGTTTGGGGTCGTGTGTTTGAATAGGGAAGAATCGCACCCTTTTCATTGGTCATTTGACTTCTTATTGCTGTGGGGCCCGGCCATTTTCGTGAGGCCAGCCTTCAAAGGCCTGCCCCCTCCTGGTTACCCGCCCCCCCCCCCGCACTGCTTTTTGCATCTCCTGCTATCGTGCAAAGCCTTCCTCCCCACCTCCCCATCGGCGCCTCGCAGAGAGAGAGGCGGCCTTCTGGGGCTTCCAAGAAGCGGAAGCTCCTCGGCAGGTGGGACTGGTTGTGCTGCCCTGAGCGCACCTCCTCGGTCATTGCGGTGTGGTTTTTCTCTCGCACATCAACGCTGCAGCTGCAGCACAGGACCCGGCCCCCTTTCTGGCTGTGCTGAAGGGCTGGGAGAGTCACCCGAAACCTAAAACCTTCTGTCTTCAGAAGCGAGAGTTGGACACCCGCCTGGGGAGCAGCTTTGGCCCCCTCAGGATTCCCACCTGGGCAGGGCCCGTGGAGCCCCAGAGCCAGGGCTCTCTTCTGCCAATTGAGAAGAACAAGCTCTTTGCTGGGGGAGACCGTGGGTCCGTTGATGGGAGTTTGCTGTGGGTGGAAATCTGCTTCGCCAAACTTGTGCCCCCAGTGATCTGGGAGTTGACCTCCTGTAGATAGGTGGGGGGGAGTGGGAGCTGGTAAACCGTTAGCTCCCCTAAACCAAGGAAATGCCACTCTTTCTAAAGGGAGGGCTCCAACCTTACCGCTCCCCCCTTTCCAGGCCCGGCTTTGACTCCATGCCCTGATTGAAGGGTGCCAGAGGCATGCTTGGATAACGGGGAGGCCTGTTGGGTGGTGCCAGTCTTCAGAGGATGGCCCGGCTGTTGCACAGTGTTGCTCCATTTAACGAGGGTTAGTAAAGTTATTTTAATTGGCAGCTCTTGAGCAATGCTTGCTGTTTGTGGAAAAGTTCGGTGCAAAATTGCTGGCTGCCCTTGAGGGGGTAATTTTAGTAGAGGTTGAACTGGGAGGGGGAGAGATACCAGGAAGATCTTCCCCCCTCTCCCCCAAGAAGTTATAGCTCCTTTTATTACCTCTCAAAGTCTCTGAAATAGAGCACAGCATCACGCTCACCCAACATGTGATTTTAAAAATAGTCTCTCCAAAATAACTTCTGACATCCCTTAGGAAGTCTCTTTCGGAGGCAGGTTGGCTTAACAGTGTGCTTAGAAAAATAAATAAATCAATAAATCAAGCAAGCAAGCAAGCTGGTTGGATGCTTAAGACGCCCCAAGATGTGCCTTTTGCCCTCCCCCCATCTATTTTTCTCATCTCCTACCCTGTCCTGCTTCTATGCCAATTTTAAAAGTTGCTAGCCCTCCCTGTGCAAGACCATCCAGATTTTTTTAAAAAATGGCCTTTTAAAGTTTTTTGCATGATTTTAAGGAGTTTCACCTGAAGGATGGCCTTGTTCATCAGTTCATTTAACCTGCTATCTTACAGGTTCACTTGATTCCTAGAACCATAAAGGAACCCCCCGGGTGGGGAAAGAGGTAAGCAGCCTTCTGAGGTGCTGTGGGGTGCATCGCCCCTCACTGTTGGCCTGGCAACATCAAAGGCAGCCCAGCCACAGCTGGGGTGGGGGGAGCCTCTGCTCCCCTTGGGTGCAAAAAAGTAGGGGAGTGATTGAGCACACGGCAGCTGCTCACCGGAAGGAGAGAGGCACAGAGCCAGGCATCCGGGGGCAGAGGGAGGACGGCAGACGGCATGGCCTTGAAGGACAGGAGGAAGAGCTGCTCCCAAGGGAGCAGTCAGATAAGAGGGGCCTGAGCCTGGACCAAGAAAGTAATGCGAGTAAATGTCTCAGATGAGCCCCTCCATAGTTCACACAGGAGGGAGGGGGAAGTACATTTGGACTTGCAAGATTCTGTTACTATAGCTTTACGATAAAAGTTATACCGACTTACCTGGCGTTGGTTTCCTAGTCTGATCTACCTTGAAGGGCTGATGCCAGGACAGCAAGTGGCGTCTTTTGTTCTTTTTTGGCATAACAGCTCTTCCTGGGACAAGGCAGGAAGGGTAACAAATCAAAAACGCTGTAGATCCAAGAAAAGTAACTCTACAGCACCAAGTTAGAGCTGGAAAAGATTGAAGGTGGGAGCTAAAAGGGAGCCGCGGCTGGTTCCAGTTACAGGGTCCAAGCAGGGAGCCCTCGTGCCAGGACAGAACAGCAGGATCAGCGTTGGCGGCTGCGTGGCGTCTCTTCTTAAGGCAGACTCTCCTCCAGGTCCAACTTCTCTCCTAGTGGACTTGAGTCATTTTTTTTGGCTACAAACGGAAGCATTTTGCCTTTGGGGGGACTTCTCTGGCTAGTTCCAACTACAGCATAGGGTGGACAAGGTGGTGTTTTTTCACTGCGCACTTCTTAGGTGGCACCCGTCTTGCAGGCAGGGTGATGCCATAGCACGACTTTCCCCATTTGGGTGCCAGCCACATCTCTTGGCTGCCAACGCCAGAGGGGACTGCCAGAAGAAAGGGAAACTAGAGAAGGATGACAGACAGGTTCAGGAGCACAGATCCTGGCACTTATGTCCGAACTTGGCTGCCAGCTCCTCTGCTTTCTTTGCCAACTAATGGGAAAGGACGTGGGCATTGACTGTACTCCCAAACACAGACCTCGAGAGGTACAGATGATCACCTAAATAAGGGCGCTATAACCTCCTCAGAAGGTTTTGTTCATCCAGATCGAGGAGGCAGATTAGACAGCCTCTGCGCTCCCCCTTTGACCCTTCTAAGCGGGGAGTCCATCCATGTCTTCCAAAATGGAGGGGCGTTCAAAGCCCAAAGGTTCTTCCATTTTTAGCTTCTGAGGTGCTTTCTGCTGGGGATCGGCCAGTTCTGGAAACACCCGAATAATGTTTTAGAAGGAGTTGGGAGCTGCCGAGGTGGCATTAGAGCAAGATGGGCTGGGAAAAAATCTGAGAGGGACACCAGATTCGGGTGGGCTTTGAGTTGCTATATCTCAACAGTTGGATATGGACTTTTCCTTTGAAACAGAGCTTAATTTATAGTTTCAGGCTTAAACTTGGCTGAGAAGAGCTTTGGGGAGATGGCTGGGTCACAAGGCTGTTCCTTTCCAAAGCATCTCTCTGTTGTGTTCTTTTGCGGGGGGGCTGTCTTCTTCCCTTTTTTGTCACTCGGGAACAATCGTGTAGCAAACAATGCTGGCTGGTGCTGAGAGTCTCCCCCCCCACAAAAACACCTTCTTACAGCTGGCGTCTGTGTCTGCTTGCTTTGTGCAAGACACCAGTGTGCTGAACCACTAAATCCACTCTTCTGAACGCAGACTCTTCAGTAGTCCTTTGCTGCAGGAGCAGGTCAGCAGGAGGCTGCCTTTTGTACAGCGGTCATCCTTTGTAACTGCTTGCTGGGGAAGTGGCCGATGGGGCACGGTCGGGGCTGCCAAGCCAAAGGCTATTGTTGCAGGTCACCTTGATTTTTCCCCTGCGGAGGACCTGGGTCAGGCCAGAGACGTTGTGAGAGTTGTGCCTCAGCTTCTTAGAAACAGCACCCACAACATTTTGGCTTCAGAACATACACCTGGAGGGGAAACGGATGGTCTCTACTCCCTTATTTGGGGGCAGGCTCTGAAGCACCCTTGGGTGCTCTGTCCCATGCTCTTGGCTCTCTCTCAACTCGTCTTCCTCTCTTCTTTGCAGGCATGGTACAGAAACTTGACCAAAAACTTCCAGTCGCCAATGAGTACTTACTGCTTTCCGGAGGGGTCCGAGAAGGAGTGGTGGATCTTGATCTCGATGAACTGAACATCTACGCTCGTGGCACTGACTATGACATGGACTTTACCCTCCTTGTGCCCGCACTGAAGCTCCATGACCGGAACCAGCCTGTCACCCTGGACATGCGCCACTCCGCCTTGTGTCACTCCTGGCTGAGCCTGCGGCTCTTTGATGAAGGGACCATCAGCAAGTGGAAGGACTGCTGCACCATCGTGGACCATCTCAACGGGGCTACCAACTACTTCTTCTCCCCCACCCGGGTGGCTGACTGGTTCCATGATTCCATCAGCATCGTCCTCTCGGAGATTCAGAAGAAGCCCCAGCGGGGGATGCCCAAAGTGGAGAAGGTGGAGAAGAACGGCACCCTCATCTCCATCATCCTGGGGGTTGGCAGCAGCCGCATGCTGTATGACATCGTGCCCGTGGTGTCCTTCAAAGGCTGGCCAGCCGTGGCCCAGAGCTGGCTGATGGAGAACCACTTCTGGGACGGGAAGATCACCGAGGAGGAAGTCATCAGCGGCTTCTACCTCGTCCCTGCTTGCTCATACAAAGGCAGGAAGGACAATGAGTGGCGACTGTCCTTTGCGCGGAGCGAGGTGCAGCTGAAGAAGTGCATTTCCAGCAGCCTCATGCAAGCCTACCAGGCCTGCAAGGCCATCATCATCAAGCTGCTCTCGCGCCCCAAGGCCATCAGCCCCTACCACCTGCGCAGCATGATGCTCTGGGCCTGCGACCGACTGCCCGCCAGCTACCTGCTGCAGGAAGATTACGCCGCCCACTTCCTCCTGGGCCTGATCGACGACCTGCAGCACTGCCTGGTGAACAAGACGTGCCCCAACTACTTCATCCCCCAATGCAACATGCTGGAGCATCTCTCGGAGGAGACGGCCATGCTCCACGCACGGAAGCTCTCCTCGGTGCGCTCCGATCCCGCTGAACACCTCCAGATGGCCATCGAGCACGTCAAGGCTGCCAACCGGCTGACGCTGGAGCTCCAACGGAGGGGCAGTGCCACCAGCATCCCTTCCCCCCAGTCGGATGGAGGGGACCCCAACCAGCCTGACGACCGGCTCGCCAAAAAGCTGCAGCAGCTGGTGACTGAGAACCCGGGCAAGTCCATTTCTGTCTTCATTAATCCAGACGATGTCACACGGCCCCACTTCAGAATCGACGACAAATTCTTCTGAGACCCCGGCGACGGGCTCCTGCCCCACCTCAGACTTTGGGAATCCTCTCGCTCACGCTCTCTCCATCTGGGTCTGTTTCCTTTGTGAACATATCCAGCCTGGAACGGGCCTGCAGGTGGGGCTCTTGGGCTCGATTTGCTGCTATTCCTGTCTGGTTCAGAGGCCTTTTACGTTTTCCCGGACCAACTCGAACTGGGTGCAGTTCCTGGCTGCCTCCTTTGGCAAAAATTCCTTTCTACCTTCAGCACATCCACTTCTCTGATGGGGTGGGCTGTCTCCCCCCCCCGACATCCTCTTGGTATGACGAGCTTTCCTGCCCCCAACTTCCCGTGCTTTCAGAGGGTGACTGTGAGAAACACCCAGTGGAAAGTTTGGCCGGCCGCCTGCTGCTCGCTTGGCTCGTTCGTCCCTTTGCTCTCCCAGAAAGACCAAAATGACATGCTAAGTGATGACCCTGCAGACTTCTCCAAGTTGAGGGCGTTTTCCTCCCTCGATCACCTTTTCTTGAATGTAATTGTTCAGAGTCCGAGCTGGAACAGAACAAAGGATACGCTTTCTGCCAGTGGCTCCTGCAGCATAAGATCCAGGGACGTCAGGTCTTCGCTGTGTCCTCACTCAAAGCCTTATTTCAAAGCGATTAAAGGACATCCGGACGGTCAATGCGCACTAGCGACAGGCCTGGCTCCCTCTGGCTTTTCCCTTCCTTAAGGGGCGGGTTTGGTGTCGGGGCCTCCTTTTGCAAGGCCCTGCAGAGGGTCTACGTGCTCTGCTCTTACGCGGGTGAGCCGTTGCAGAGCAAGCCCAGGCGCTCCTGCCAAGGCAGCGGGTGGAGCTGGCGTCCTCCACAAGGGCGGTTCTGGAGTTGCCAAGGAAATGAGGGGTCTGGGTGGAGACTGGCGGGATTCAGGGCCATCGTGCTCCAAATGCCAGTGGCCCAGCTGGTAGTGAAGGGACACGTCAGCCCGAGGTGGCTTCCCTGGGCCCGAGGGTGGGTGCCCTCCTGGCGGGTCCTCGGGGTTTTTGGCTGGTGGTTCCCTGGCACCGGTCCTCCCATTTCAGTCAGGCCAGTGTGTGACCGTTTCTGTCCTGCCAGAGCTCAGGGCACCCCGTGGGTTCGGTTTGCCCTGCGTCTGGGGAGGACCCTGCGGGCTTTGGCAGAGGTCTGCTTCTGGGCCGGCCCCCTTCCATCGCAGGCCTGGGGAATCTGCCTCCTCGGGAGCTGAGGCTGCCCAGCGGGCTGGACTGGCCTCAGTGAGACTGGGCAGTTTGCCATAAGGGAGCCATGGGAACCCAGCCATTGTCTGAGAGGAGAGGCCAGGGGAACCAGCCATCCTCTTCAACCAGGTCTGTGGATTCCTGCCCTGGGCGGGGGGCGGGTGGACTAGACGGTCTCCAAGCTCTTTCCCTTCTGTGATCACTGTGGCAGAGCTTGCTTCTTGCCACACTACGTGAAGGCAGCCACTTTGCTTTCCTAACTCAGCGAATGCAGCCAGCCAGCGGCTGGCCCTGGGTCTCCGTGCCTTCTGGAGCTGTTCTTCTGCGCTGGGCCTCCAGTGCCACGCAGTCTGACCTTCACCTGGCCAATCCGAGGCTCACGGTGCCAACCTGGTACATTGCAGTGGGGAGACTTGGGCAGACTCGCCCAGGGAGCCCATGGGGGGGGGGGTCAGGCGCGATTCGATCACTGGGACCCAAGGCATGCGCACCCTGTCTGCTCCTACAGGGTGGGCAGAGCTGGAAGTTGGAAAGCCCAGCTGGCCGTCAGCAGACCCCGGGGCCAGGAACTGCCTGAGTCCTGCTTCTCCCTCTTCCCCTTCTGCAGCCTCTTGGCTGGGATTTCAGTTAAGAGGCGGAAGCCTGGCCGATCGTCTGGGAGGAGGAGTCCCTGCACACGCTGGCTGTGTGTACACGACACGCTAGGTTTGGATAGTGTGAACCTTGATTAGATGATTCTTTGCCTGGTGTATTAAAGGAACCCAGGCTGGTGGGTTAGTTTATGGTTCAGTGTTTCCCAGAAAAGTCAGTAGCCAATTCACACATGTTCCGCAACACAGGCAGAGTACCTTGGTTCACGCATTCTGGCCCCTCATAACTCGGTCATGGTTTAGTCTGGGGGCCGGGAGCCCGGAGCCCACGCGCACCAGGGTGCTTAGTGCCGCTAGATGGCGCCCCGAGACTGCCAAAAATAAATAAAGCCTCCAGAATGGCCAAAGCTGGTCAACTATCCCAAGATTGCTTTGCTCTCATCTAAGATCCCGTGAGGTGGTGGCATTTGGACGAAGAGCTCTTGGTTAATTAACAGGGTCATTACTTAATAAGCTGGGAAAGGAGCGAAAGGGCATTTTGTCTTGTCCAAAGGAACGAAAGTACATAATAAGGCATGCAAAGCAAAACTGAATATACAAGTAATATTAAAAGCACCAATGAAACGTAAGGTAAGTATATCAGAAGTAGGAAATTAATGCATTGTACCTAAGATCTTCCATAGCTTGCTGTTTTTGCTACTTTCTGGCCGCCAGTGACTTCTCTGCCCTGCCCCGTGGAGACATCTCAGGGGGTGGAACAGCTTCTGTCTGAAAGGGGAGGCTGGAGGGGGAACCACGGGGCTCTGGGATGATGTTGGTCTTGGGGTCAAGGGAGGAGAACCCTGAGCTTGCTAAGGCCTGTTGCGGGAGAGGAGATCAAGGATGTCCATGAAAGCCTGTCAGCCCCCAGGCCCCACCTCTCAGACCGTCCAGTCCTGGGCCACAGGCTTCGTGAGGCAGTCGCAGAAATTGGAGGGGCTTCAGAGAAGGGCCGGGAGGTGATCAGGGAACTGGCAACCAGGTCCAGTGAGGAGACGCTGAAGAACTCCACGTGCCCTGAGAAAGGAGCACTTTTCCAATTCCTGGAGGGATCCCCACGGGGGTGGGGGCCAGAAGCTGATCTGTCTCCGTCCAGGGAGTGGGACCCGGAAAAAGGGATTCAAGTTCCAAGAGGACGCTGAAAAGCTTCCTAGCAGGGAGAGCTGTTGGAAAGTGGGATCGATGACCCTGAGAAGTGCCAGGCTCCCCTTCGCCGGATGCATTCAAGCAAAAGCTGGGGACCCACTGCAGAGGGGGGTCTTTCTTTGGATTCATGCACACAGCTGGACTGCTTCCAACGCCAAGCTTCGGTAATAATGGAGTTAAAAGGAAATGGGAAACTGGTGCAGCACAACTCCAGCGTCAGCACCTACCCTCGTGTACAGAAACAGGCAAAGGGGGAGACTCATTCACCTCCCCACCGGTCAGCCCCTCCCTCGTATCCTGTACACCGGGGTGGGGGGGGGCGGGGGGAGGCTGCGAAAGGGAAATGGACGGTCCAGAGCAGCCTTGCTTCTGTCGGCCTGCTCCCACCGGCACGCTGCCTCTGATGCCCAGGCGGGAGAGCTAAGCTTCCTTTGGGAGTTTTGTAACATTCACTGTTCTGGGTCACATGAAATGCGCCATTTAATTTAATTTAACAATTTAATATTTAATTTAATTGGGTGGCTCACAATATAACAAAAAGAAAAAAAAAATTAAATGCAACAACAATCCAAAACAAAGCCAAAAGACAAGTAAGAAGCAGATAAAAACAAGACGACGTGCCTGACCAACAACGGAGCTCCCGAGGGGCTCCAGCCACCCCAACCCAAGGCTTAGGAGAACAGCCAGTGTAAATCGCCCTGTCGTGGGTCATGCTGTATGAACCTCGTAGCCCAACTGTTTCCGGGCCGGGATCGTGACCAAAGTAACCCTGGCGCGCCAGAGGGATTTATCCAGGGCTCCTCACGTCATTAGGGGTTAACAAGGTTAAACCTCCCTTCGGACCTCCGGATAGGCGGGATGTGAGCGTTGACTGCTGTGTTGTGTGAACCCACCAATGAACAGAGACAAGAAGCTAAAGGGGCCCCAGAGAGTTCGCATGCTTCAGCCTCTGGGCCCCCACTTTTCAAGCATGGGGGAGGTGGAGGAGCATCTTCTATGGATTTTTTAAAAGCGGCAACCTCAGCACATGCCGGCCAACTAGACTCCCAGCGTAACTGGCATTTCTCTTGGGTCCTTATTTCATTGGGACTCTCTGCGTCAGCACAGAATAGAAGTTGGGCGTGCAAACGTGGCCGGTGACCGCCCAAAAGCACCCTGGACCTTCCAGAACTGAGGACGGCTTTGAACTTGCACCGTCTTAGTCTGAGCCCCCAACGGCTGCCCTGCCCTGGTGCTCCATGCGGTGCACGACCAGCAACCCTGCAGCTAAGCTTGGCTTCTAAACCAAACCAGTAGAGCCAGTGGGACCCCCACGCTCCCCCTTGCCCCTTCAGACCGTGGCCACGGGCAGAGCAGCCTCCCTTGGGGACCGGAGGGGGAGAGGGCTGCAGATACCCAGCACGCCAAGCGACATGACGCGTTTTCAGTCACCCTCCCCGCAGGTCATCCAAACCTTAAAACAAACTCTCAGGTAGCCTAGGTAGAGTTTCCTTCAGTCTTACGGGGTGGGTTCTATTGCCACCTCACAGGTCTACCCTCCCAAAGATTCGGAAGTGAAATGCGTGGAGGCGGGAGCCGTGAGCCATCTTCCTGTTGCTGGGACCGATGTCGCTCACGGGGATGACTGTCCTGGCAGCCGTATCTTCAAATTGCAGAATGCAAACAAGGTTTCTCTTCTTGCCACTGTAATGGCCCTTTCTAGAGCTTTCGGCCCGTCACCCCGATGCCAACTCCCTCTTGTCAAGCAGAGCGCGCCAGGTGAGGAAGAAGAGCCTCTGGGTGACTGTAACGAAGCACGAAAGGTCTTTACCAGACCTGCTCAGCGGTTTTTTCCTCCGCTGGTGCCTTGGCCTGCTGGCGTTCTTGCAGCTTCCTGCGGCCGCCTCCATATGGCAAGCCAGCTTCAAAGTTGCCAGGAAAGTTAGCCCGTGAGTGGGGTGGGCGGGAGGCCTTCAAAAGCAAGGCAGGACTGTGGTTGGCCTGTGCTGGCCAGAGTTGGCTCCTTTGCTGAGGATCAGTGGGATGAACGTCACAATGGATGGAGGCAAATAACCTGCTGTCTTCTGGGTCAGCCTCCCTACAGGTGGGCTAGGATTCCATCTCCTGGAAGGCCCTGCCGGCATTTGTGCCTCTAGCTCAGTGTTTCTCAACCTTGGCAACTTTAAGATAGGTGGATTTCAACTCCCAGAATTCCCCAGCCAGCCTTGCT